AAGAGCGGCGTTTCTGCTAGTAATAAATAAAAGTCAAATGTACCCTTTGGTAGGTTAGGTTAGGTTTGCACTTTTTAATGTAAAAAAAAAACACCTTTCTTGTACACGACCTGCCACCACCATTCGACTTATCTCCTTCTAAAACAAAATATTTCCAGTGATAACCTCCCGTGGGAAATATTTCGAAAGTTTGAGTTAATTGTTCAGAGACCCTGGAGCTGGACTTTACCATCAGTAAAAACAAAAACAAAACAGCAACCAAAAAACAAACAATAAAATAGAGAGTTGAGAATTTGAATTTGAAATAAGTCATAAAAGAATATTCCTTAGACTTTATATTAAGTAAAAAAATATAATATTGTCCTCATAAAATTAACATTACATCTTTTATCATACACAAGCACACATTCTATTCAACTTTCTATTTGTCACAGTCAACATCACACTTCATTCTACCGTATACAACTTCCCATCCTTTGAGTTTCATCATTTTTCACCTCTTGCATTCCTCGTTCTTTTTGCCTATGGTAGTTTTTTTCACCACTTATGTCTAACATAACATAACATAACATAACATAACATAACATAACTTAACAAAATAATTGTTGCCCCTCGTGTAACGAGGATGGCCGGCCATAGGGCCACCTAGGCGTGAATTTGTTTAAGGTGTAGAAGCTGTCGCCAACACAACAACCACACCCTAAGTGAACGAGCTGCATGACCCAGTGTAAAGGAACAGGCCGAGAAGACCGGACAACTCCCCAACTGCACTGGCTAACCATTACCCCGGAACACGATCCGCAAATCGATTAACATCCAGGTTCCCAATTACTGCTGGGTAGACAGAGGCAAATGGCGTAAAGAAACTTGCCCATTACACCACAGGTCGCAGCATAACCTAACATAACAAAACCCCACCAGGTAGCGTTAGGTGTTTGATCATCAGGTGAAACAAATTGGTGAGTGTCTAATCTGCAGGTGATCTTAACTTACTTATCCATGATGGTCAAAACAAAGACACAACTTAAACGAAGAAGAACAAGATGATGAAATGTAAACAAAAAGAACAAGATGATGAAGAGTAAGCAGCAAAAACAGCAAGAACAAGATTAACAAGAACAATAAAATAACATAATCCACAGCAATAAAACCAAAGAAGAATAACAAAAACACAAGAAAGAAAACACTAACCTTGGATACACTCACCTTAACTCAACCCAAATTTGATGGAGCAGATAATCAGGTATTCATCTCTTTAATTAACATCTGTCACCAGGTAAGACAGAACTTTAAATTTTTGTATCCTAAAATGTTCTCTCTTTAGCTGTGACAAGGGTCATTATGTTGAGCTGGTGGGGGGGGCTCAACCTGGTGGCTTTGTTCAGTCAGGTCAGGTGTACTATTTGCTCCCTGTCGGTGTGTCTATTTGTCTTTTTGTCTGTCTGTCTGTCTGTCTGTCTCATCTCCCCCTTTCTTACTATTACAACCTTCCAACCCCCTACCCCTTTTCCATCCTCTCCCCACTCTCTCTCTCTCCCTCTTTTTTCCCCTGTGCTTCCCCTCTGTCTCCCCTTCCAGTTCCTTCTCTCTCCTTCTCTCTCTAGCTCCTCTCTCCCTCTATCCCCACCCCTCTTCCCTCTCTCATTCCCTCCCCATGCTCCCTCCCCCCTCCCCCATGCCTGCCCCTCTATACTCCTTCCTCCCATGCCCCTCCCCATGCTCCCCTCTCCATTCTCCTTCCCCTCCCATGCTCCCTCTCCATACTCTTTCCCTCTCCATCCTCCCCTCCTCCCCATGCTCCCTCCATCTCCACACTCCTTCCTCTTCATGCCCCTCCTCCTCCATGCCCCTCTCCCTCCATGCTCCCTCCCTCCATACTCCTCCTTCCTCTCCATGCTCCTCCCCTCCCCATGCTCCCTCCCCCTCCCCATACCCTCCCCTCTCCATTTCTCCCTCCCCATGCCCCTCCCCTCCACACTCATTCCCTCCATGCTCCCCCCTCCCTTTCCATGCCCTCTCCCTCTCCATGCTCCCTCCCCAATGCTCCCTCCCTCCTTGCCCCTTCCCTCTCCATACTCTTCTCCATGCCCCCCTCCTCCCCATGCCCCCTCCCTCCACACCCTCCTCCATGCTCCCTCCATGCCCCCCCCCCCTCCCTCCATGCCCCCTCCTCCCATACCCTTCCCTCTCCATGCTCCCTCCTCCCCCATGCCCCTCATTCCCCATACTCCCTCCCTCCCTCCTTCCCCTCCCCAATCCTCCTCCCTCTCCATACTCATTCCTCCATGCTCCCTCCCTCCATCCCTCCCTCTCCATGCTCCCTCCCTCCATGCTCCCTCCCTCCATGCTCCCACCCTCTCCATACTCCTTCCCTCCATACTCCTCCCTCCCCCATGCCCCTCCCTCTCCATGCCCTTCCCTCTCCATGCTCTTTCCCTCTCCATGCTCCCTCCCTCTCCATGCTCCCTCCCTCCATGCTCCCTCCCTCCATACTCCTTCCCTCCATGCTCCCTCCCTCCCCATGCTCCCTCCTCCCCATACTCCCTCCTCTCCATACTCCCTTCCTCCCATGATCCCTCCTCCATACTCATTCCTCCATGCTCCCCTCCCTCTCCATGCTCCCTCCCTCTCCATGCCCTCCTCCATGCCCCTCCTCCATGCTCCCACCCTCCATACCCCTTCCCTCCATACCCTCCCTCCCCATGCGGCCCCTCCCTCTCCATGCCTTTCCCTCCATGCTCTTCCCTCCATACCCCTCCCTCCATGCCCCTCCCCCTCTCCATGCTCCCTCCCATCCACTCCCTCCACCTCCCCCTCCCCATGCCCCTCCCCTCCATACTCCCTTCCCTCCATGCCCCCTCCCTCTCCATACTCCTTCCCTCCATGCTCCCTCCCTCCATGCTCCCCCTCCCTCCATGCCCTCCCTCCATGCTCCCTCCCTCCATACTCCTTCCCTTTCCATGCTCCCTCCCTCTCCATACTCCTTCCCTCCATGCTCCCCTCCCTCCCCGTGTCCCTCCCTCTCCAAACTCCTTCCTCCATGCTCCTTCCTCTCCATGCTCCCCTCCCTCCATGCCCTCCCCTCCATACTCCTTCCTCTCCATGCTCCCTCCCTCCATGCCCTCCCTCTCCATGCCCTTCCCTCCCCCATGCCCCTCCCTCTCCATACCCTTTCCCTCCATGCCCTCCCTCCATACCCCTTCCTCCCCATGCTCCCCTCCCTCTCCATGCTCCCTCCCTCTCTCCCTCCTCCATGCTCCCTCCCTCCATGCTCCTCCCCTCTCTCTCCATGCTCCCTCCCTCCATGCTCCTCCTCCACACCTCTTCCCTCCCCATGCCCCCCTCCCTCCATGCTCCCTCCCTCCCCATGCTCCCTCCCTCCATGCTCTTTCCTTCCATGCTCTTTTTCCCTCCCCATGATCCCCTCCTTCATGCTCCCTTCCTCTCCATACTCCCTCCCTCTCCATGCTCCTTCCCTCTCCATACGCTTTACTCCCTAATACATGCATCAGTACTTGAGGCCATAACACTAAATTCATTCTTATAAATCCCATACAGTAAAATAAATAACTTTTTCTCCCTCCCTCGAAGAACAGGACGACACACACACACACACACACACACACACACACACACACACACACACACATGCATGTATGCATGCATACATACGCACGCACGCACGCACCGCACGCACACACACACATACTACATCCTTGACCACCAAAGGAACAAGACGTACCTGGCGCTCCTCCGAGCAGCCAGGTCAACTGTTGTTGGCCCATACCAACCTCCCTGAACCCTCCTCCCCACCGGAATATCAACAAGTTCTCTCGAGAAGTTACAATTTCATTTAGGAAAGGAATGAACCAGTGTTAAACAGAGGTGAACAGTGGTGAACAGTGCTTAAGTCAGTGAGAACAACTCAACAGTAACAGTCGTACCAGTTAACCTTCACAGTGAGGTCCCAGTCAGTGAGGGAATTACTACACCACATGTCCCCCATAACACCATATGTGAGGAAATTACCACCACGTCAAGTCCCCATCACACCATCTGTGAGGAATTACTACACCACGTGAGTCCCTCTTAACACCATCTGTGAGGGAATTACTACACCACGTCAGGCCCCTCATAACACCATTCTGAGGGAATTACACCACGTGATGCCCTCATAACACCATCTGTGAGGGAGTTACTACACCACGTGAGGCCCTCATAACACCATCTGTGAGGTAATTACTACACCACGTGAGGTCCCTCATAACACCATCTGTGAGGTAATTACTACCCACGTGAGGTCCCTCATAACACCATCTGTGAGGGAATTACTACACCACGTGAGGTCCCCATAACACCATCTGTGAATTACTACACCACGTGAGGCCCTCATAACACCATCTGCGAGGGAATTACTACACCACGCCAGGTCCCTCATAACACCATCTGAGGGAACGACCACCACGTGAGTTCCTCCTAACACCATCTGGGAGGGACACTACACTACGAGTTTGCTGTTCAACACCTACATTAATCTGTATGTTCACTGTATGTTCCTTTACCTTTCTAATGAAGGCTGTTAAACCACTAATGTATGTAATAAGTCATTTATGTCCAATGTATATTGTCAGCCTTCAGGCTGCAGAACTTTCAATAAACCGTTAATTATTATTATTATTATTATTATTATTATTATACATACATATATACGTACTGTACATACATACATACATACATACATACATACATACATACATACATACATATAAACTTACATATATACATACATACAAACATACATACATACATACATACATACATACATACATACATACATACATACATACATACATACATACATACACTGTACATACATACATACATACATACATACATACATACATACTGTACTGTACATACATACATACATACATACATACATACATACATACATACATACATGCATACATACATACTTATTTAGATATATATTTTTATAGAGAGATAAATTAGTTAAATTAGAGTCAGTATTGACCCAGCCTGAGCACATAGCTCTAGACAGTGTAGGTGTACACGCGGTGTACACAGACAGTGTCGATGTACAGGCAGTGAACACAGACAGTGTACATGTACAGGCGGTGTACACAGACAGTGTCGATGTACAGGCAGTGAACACAGACAGTGTACATGTACAGGCGGTGTACACAGACATTGGAGATGTAAAGTCGGTGTACATAGACAATGTAGGTGCACAAGCGGTGTACACAGACAGTGTAGGTGTACACGCGGTGTACACAGACTGTGTAGATGTACAGGCGGTGTACACAGACAGTGTAGATGTAAAGACGGTGTACATAGACAGTGTAGGTGTACAGGCGGTGTACACAGACAGTGTAGATGTACAGGCGGTGTACATAGACAGTGTAGGTGTACAGTCGGTGTACACAGACAGTGTAGGTGTACAAGCGGTGTACACAGACAGACTAGGTTTGCACGCGGTGTACACTGACAGTGTAGGTGTACAAGCGGTGCACATAGACAGTGTAGGTGTACAAGTGGTGTACATAGACAGTGATGATGTACAAGCGGTGTACACAGACAGAGTAGGTTTACAAGCGGTGCACATAGACAGTGTAGATGTACAGGTAGCACACATAGACAGTGTAAGTGCACAAGCTGTGTACATAGACAAAAATGTGTAAAACTAGTGTACATAAACAGAATAGGTGTACAAGCGGTGCACATTGACAGTGTAGGTGTACAAATGATGCACATGGAGAGGGTAGTTGCACAAGCCTATGTACATAGACAATATAGGTGTACAACCGGTGTACACACAGTATACAAACGGTGTACACAGACAATATAGGTGTACAAGTGATGTACTCGTATATAGACAGTGTAGGTATATAAACAGTGTAAATATAGAGAAATTGTGTACAAGCAGTGTACATAGACAATATAGATGTACAACCGGTGTACACACAGTGTACAAACGGTGTAAATAGACACTATAGATGTGCAAGCGATGCACACTTAGTATAAACATACAACTTGTACACAGACAGTGTAAGTATATAAATGATGTACTCAGACAGTGTAGGTATACATACCGTGTACATAGTACAGGTATACAAACGTTGTGCACAGTCAGTGTAGGCATATAAACAGTGTAGGTATACAATGTGTACACAAACAATGAAGGTATAAAACGTTGTTGTACATAGAAAGAAAATATTTACAGAAAGAGTGCAAAAATAGTGTAGGTGTACAAGTAATGTACTGTACATAGACAGTGTAGGTATAAAGACGGTGTACACACACAGTGTAGGTATAAAAACGGTGTACACAGACAGTGTAGGTATAAAAACGGTGTACACATACTTTGCAGGTAAACAGTGTAGCCAACAAAGGCATCACATCACGAGTGTCGAACCATTAAAGTAAAGCGTCACTCAACACGGCCTGAAGCTGTCAGGAAGAATTTTAGTGTCGAATAGATTATGGTAAAAATTCTTACAAAGAAGAGTTGTATTGTTACAAAGAACTTCAGCTGTATTGTTGTGTATTGTTGATGTTTACTTTTGTGTCACGCAACCCATTCTCCCAGACCCAGTTAGAGAGTTCATTGAAACATTTCTGCAGCCCGAAGGCTGAATATATACATTAGACAAAAATTACTTATTACAAACAAAGACATGGGGTAGGTGGGTCGTTTAACAAAAGCTTTCATTACTGAAAGGAGGTAGAACATGAATTGAACAAAACAAATTATTATAGTTTACAGTTGATGGCCCGGGCTGGTCTCTTGCCATACTGTCATCAATAGTAGGCAAATTATTGGAAGCAATCATTTCAAACTCTATTCGAAATCACCTGGAGAAGCACCAATTGATCAATGATTCCCGATATGGCTTCACAAGCGGGCGATCGTGGTTAACTAATCTATTAACAATGTTTTCATCAGTTTTCGAAAAGGTAGACGAGGGGCACAATTATGATGTGGTATATCTCGACTTTAGCAAAGCCTTCGACAGAGTCCCCCACGAAAGACTAATTAGAAAGGTAGAAGCACATGGCATCAAAGGTAATATCCTTAAATGAATTAGGGCGTGGTTACAGGACAGGAAACAGCGAGTGAGCATTAACGGCACTAAATCCCAGTGGAGCAACGTCACTAGTGGAGTTCCCCAAGTCTCAGTACTTGGACCATTATTATTTATTATATACATAAACGACATAGATATCGGCATAGACAGCAACATAAGTAAATTTGCTGATGACACTAAAATAGGACGTGTTATTAAATCTGACGAGGACTCAGCAAAACTACAGGAGGATCTAAACAAATTTTTCGAATGGTCTGAAAAATGGCAGATGAAATTCAACGTGGACAAATGTAAAGTACTCAATATAGGAGATGTAAACAGGGAAACCAGATACCAGATGAACAGCGATGCCATAGAGAAATCCGACTGCGAGAGAGATTTAGGAGTAATGATAAGTAGGAACCTTAAGCCAAGTAAACAATGTGTTTTTGCTCGTAACAAGGCTAATAAAGTACTTGGGTTCATACAAAGGAGTGTTAGTTACAAGACTAGTGAGGTCATCTTACGATTATATCTTGAGCTTGTGAGACCTCACCTGGATTACGCAGTTCACTTCTGGTCACCGTATTACAGAATGGATATTAGGGTGTGTCATC